TAGTCTATTTTGATGTTTTAAGCCATTGGAATACACTATGATCTGTAATAACCATGAATGGCTTTAACCCATAATAATAATAGAAATGTTCCATGGCCCATAATATGGCTAGATATTCTAATTCTGTTGCAGCATAGTTTTGTTCATATTTCGTCAGTTCTCTGCTAGTATAAGATACTACGTATTCTTTGTTATCATTGTCTTTCTGTGCTAGAATGGCACCTAATTCAGTACTAGATGTATTAACATGGATATAGAAAATCCTATCAAAATCTGGGTATCTCAAAACAGGTACTGTTATTAAATGTCACTTCAATAAATCGAATACTTGCTGTTGTTTCTTCTCCAATTTAAATTTAACATGTTTCTTCGTTAATTGATATAATGGCTTAGCCAATATCATGAAATTATTAATAAAGCATTGATAATAAGAAGCTAATCCTATAAATCCACATAATTGTTGTAAATTCTGCAAGGCAGGAAAGTTCTTAATTTTATCTATCTTCATGTTGTCTGGCCTTACTCCATTACAATCTATTATATGACCTAAAAAACCGATTTCTTTCTTGAAAAAGACACACTTATCAAAGTTTAACTTTAGTCTGGTCTTATGAAAAGTTATGAAAACTTGATTAAGGATGGTAAAGTGATCTGTAATATGCTAGAGTAAACTATAACATCGTCTAAATAGATAGCAACGAATTTCTGGATATAGCTTGCCAATAACTGATCTATTAATCTTTGAAATTTTGCTGGAGTATTATATAACCCAAAGGATATTACATTGAACTCATATATACCCATTGGCGTTACGAAGGCTATTTTCTTGATCTTACTCTCTTACTGTGATCTGCCAATATCCACTTATTAGATCGATTGTACTGAACCAATTTGCTCCTTTTTTGGATACAATTATCACTGGCAATAACTATAGACTTCAAGATTCACGAATCAAATCTCTTTCTTTTAATTGGTCAATTTCTTGCTGTACAAACTCTCTTATACTAGATGATATGTGATATGCACTTTGCTTGATCAGTCGTGTATTGTCAGTGTTGATCTCGTGATGAACCTCTTTGATATATCCTAGCTTTTGAACTAATCTGGCAAAAACATTACTTTCTTGTTTCAAAAGGTCTTCACTTTTTTTTGCTGCTCCTTCTCTAGTTTTTGATCTATTTCAATATCTTCAATTCTTAATTTAATTGTCTTTTCTTTCTCTTCATTTATTATCAGTAGTTCTTCTAATCATATCATATATAACAGGTGAATTAGTTCTTTTTTATCTTCATCATTCATTTCAAACTTTTTACTTTCTTTTATTTCATCCTCCAGCTCATGATTATCATGGTTACTGTCATCATTGGATTGCTTCTTAGTTTGTGCCAAGTATTCTGTCAGGTTTAATTCTTCTTGTACAATCTTTAGGATCTTGTTTTCACCAATAATTTCCCCTGCATAATACACTTCAGCTTCTTCTATACTTTTTTCTTTATATTATAGTATTTTATAGAGCTCGTTCTCATCATCACTATTATTTTCTTCATATTCTTTTTCTTCTTGGATTAGCTGATTGTCTTACTTTTATCATCCTCAATAATCAGTACTTCTATAGTTTTGCCATTGTTCATAAATGATATTTTCCTTTTACTGAAACTAATGCTTGCTTGTACTTGTTTCAGCCAATCTCTTCCTAATAGTAGTATCTCTTTATTAGAATCAACTACTTGAATTGGGTATGGGAGAGCTATATTTCCAACAGTAATTTGTAGGCTTTTGATGTGACCCAATGTTCTTGTTCATGTTTCAGTAATTGAAATAATTACTGTAGTTGACTTTTTTTCAATTTTTAATACTAGTCACTTCATTAGTTCTTTGGATATAAAACTAATGGTGGCACCAGTGTTAGTAGTAGCAATCACATATTTTCCTTTAACTTTTATTATATATCTAATGTGAGGGTCTGTCGAAGTTCTCTCTAATACTTAAGTTTTTAAGGTTGAGATGTAATAATTTGGTTCGAGTATCCTTCTTACTCTACAAAATTAAACTCAATTTTCATCCGTTAGCATGCATATTCGTCTACTCAAACTATACTTAAGTTCTTGTTGTAGCAATGGGCATTCACACTGACAACTACTTTGAAACTCTTCCAAAGTCCTTTATGGTCACAGTTTCACCTTCAAATGTCACACATTTGCATAGTAGTTGGAACAAATAGTTATTAAGCAATTAGATGATTAGCAATTATTGTTCTGTTTATTTAGACATTTTCGCTCGCTTTATATACATGCTAATTACAAAAAATTATATCAAATATATTAACTATCTCAACTATCTAAACTATTGCTAATATATC